AGGGCAGCGAGTGGGGCCCCAGGTACTGGAGCTCCCACAACAACTGCTGGATGTACATCACGGAGAACAACGATGAGTTCGTGTACATCCGTGACCTCCAGCACAATCCTCGATTCTGCAATTGGCACGCGCGGACCGCGTGGGATACATACAAAACGAGCTTCACTGGTATTGACGGCCGCCGTGTTTGGGCCAGTGAGTTCTACCCGCGCGTCAACGCCCAGCGATGTCGGCCGCAAGGCCTACTGCTCGAGTTTGGCTGAACTTAGTCTTTACAGAGTTCGCCTCGAACAGTAAAAACACAACCTTTTAGCCACTTCGCTATCCACGAAAAGTGGCTTCTCATGCACATCTTGGTGATGTCCGAGGCGCGCTCCTTAAGGGGCACTGCCGAAGAGACCCACCCAGCGCAGAAATTGATTATGTAACTGTTCGTGTTCTTCAACGCGACATCGAATTTATGATGCTCGTGCCAATCCTCTGTGCGACAGCTTCCGTATTACATATGACGGAGCTTTGCGTGTGACTTATGCGCAATTTTTCCTTGATGCTGGTGGCAACGCCCGCTGTGTCCTTCCTGTAATAACAAGGCTGGACGCGGCGGCTTTTGATGTTGTTCTAGTTTGCTCAGATCCTCTTGCTCCGCCCATCCGTGTCCCATTCCTCCCCTCTCTCGAGTGCCGAAGCGTTCTTGGGAGGCGCGCCGAGGGGTACCTAAAGGGTGTTCGGAAACGATTTTGGACACTTGGATGCTCCTTCGCTCCTTACCTTGCCCGTTCACACCCCGCACAGGCGCTATGTGTTTTTGCGCCCTGCTGGCGTGTTCGGGACGTGTGCGCGTTGAGGAGTAAGAGGGTGACAGGTTCTTTCCTCCTTCTCCGGGGCCCTGCCCGCGCGGGCGGGATTCGGGGCGGAGGGTGTGAAAGGGGCCCGTCTCATGCCCTCATCTCTACTCCTCACTCGCCCTTTTGCCTGCCCTGTCGGCACAGGTACTGGGAGAGACCAGGGCGCTGGTCGCGCAGGAGGAAAAGATCCTTAGCTTTCCCTCCTTCCTCTACCTACGGATCAGGGGTTCTGCTTCTTTGTTCTCTGACCCAGTCGTAAAGGCGAGGCCGCTAACATCTTCCAACAACCACCGGAAAATCAATGATTTGACATCTGGAGGCGCTGTTGGGGGTCCTCTTGGGGCGCTCTTGGGCGTCTTGAGGGCTTTTTGGCCCCTCTTGGGGCCACCTTGGACTGTCTTGGGGCCGTCTTGGCCCGTGCTGAGGCCGTCTTGAGCTGTCTCGGCGCCCTCTCAGACCCGAAGCGGCCCCATGGGCCCACATGATATTTTTCAATGTGTTTGTAGGTTTTGGGGCCCAGGAGGGCCCCCCACTTTGGGTCGACGGAAGTTTCGTGGCCCCGGGTGGGTTACAGCATAATTTAAAACAGTACAACATGTAGCATTTTGAGAATGATTTGATCACTCTTGGGTACGTTGCGTTGCACATCCGCGGAAAACGCTGCCGCTCAGCACGTTACCTCCGGAGCACGTCCGCAGCGCGAAAAGACGTGGCGTTGGGTGGTGGGCCCTGCTCGTCGGCCGCGCTGGTCTGCCGTGTCGCTCTGCCCGCCCCAGGGTGTTGCTGGCGCAGCGCGGGCGCGCTATTCCTGTTTCAGCGCCAGGACGAGCGTGCGAATGTCCACGAAGGCACTGAGCATTCACCACGTGTCAGCATACAGTATCGCGAAGCAGCGTTGAGCATGCCAACAACGCGCCACTCGTCAATTTCGCGGGCCTCTTTCTTCGTGGATTCTTGGTGCCTCTTGAGGGCCTCTTGGGGGCCCCGGGGCCTCTTTGGGGTCTCTTCGCGTGAGATAGAAAACTGGACTGGCCTGGCGTGCCGTCTTAGTTCGATACTGAAGTGCGGCAAGTGCGAGACCGCGATTCCGCGAGACGCAGTGAAATCGTTCAACCGCGGCAAAGCAGGCTTCGTGTGCCCCGCCTGCTGATATCCATAGTTTGTAATTTCCAGAGAGGCCTGTCGTTCGCGCCTGCAGTGTGTCGGTGTGAGCCGGTTCGGTCTGCTCGTCTGCCGCTCTGGCTTTGCGCGCCGTTCTGCGGTCTCGGCGTCGTTCGGGAAAGTCTGTTTGTGGGCATGGGCGCCTGCGGCTCATTGATCTGGCGAGGGGTACTTGAACGGTATAGAGAGACGATGGGTCCCTTCCGTAACCTTTGGCTAAAGGCCCTTTCCTCCACCCATTTGCGGACATCCCGAGTTGCGCCGCTCCTTCCAGATCCCGGCCCCTCACGCCCATTCCTTTTTCCTTCCGCGTTCATTGTTTGCGAGTGGACAGAATGCTGTGCTATCGGAGATCGCACTGGGGTCTGGTGCGAGCAGAAGCACTGAAGGACACTACGTTATCCTCCGACACCGTCCGTTGGGGAACAGGTGGTAGCGGAGTCTCTGAGGAGGCTCTGATCTGTGGGCTGTGACTATATCGGGAGAGCGTGATGCTAATTCTCCACGCGGCTCGCCGGGGGCGGGCCAGGGACCGATCAGTACAGCGTTGGGAACAGCAAGACAGTGAGCCGACGAGGACGGCCAATGCAGAATGGCGGGGGAACAGCTCAGAACTCTGCTCGATGAGGCCGTTGCAGAGACGAGAGCGGCGCCAACAGCAGTGCCGCTTGCCTCGAGCCCATCCTCCTCCACGGGAGTTTCAGCGCAGCAACAGGAGCAGATCATCCGAGCAGTACTTGGCCAGGTTCAAGTGTCCAGCCAAGCGAGCCAGGAAAACGCAGCTGCAGGCAAAGGGCGAGCCAGCGGCACTGCACAGGATGATGGAGACCCGTGGCGCGATTCCGATCCGTGGACTCAGAGTCGGTCTCGAGGCGTTTCAGCAGGCGTGGGCCGCCCCGCGATCGTCAGGGACGACGTTCAGGCGGACTGGGGCGCTGACTGAAGGGCCAACTACTGGGGCGAGTCCAGCTGGAAGGGGGGCTGGGGACAGAGAGATGATTGGAAGGGTGACGGCTGGGGCGAAAAAAGGTGAGGATTTCGCGGGCCCCGACAACTGGGCGAGCTGGAGCGACTGCAAGTTGTGGAGGCGCCAGCTGGTCCGACGCGGCACCGCATAAGCACGCCGACCGCGTCCTCAAGGTGCTCCCCCTCGACCCCCAGAGGAACATGGACGACTTGAT